ACGTAGCTCCCTCATGTTCTAGACACCATGACTTACATAGTTGAGAGAAAGTCCTAGACCCTTCATAAAAACCAAATTCTCATGTTCTAGACACCATGACTTACATGGTTGAGAGAAAGTCCTAGATTCTTCATAAAAACCAAATCCTCATGTTCTAGACACCATGATTTACATGGTTCAGAAAAAGTCCTAGCCCCTTCATAAAAACCGAATGCCCATGCTGGGGATTGGGCTCAATTAGTAGAATATGCACAAAACTGGGTTAAATCCTCAGCAGTACATAAACTAGGTGTGGTGGCATATTACTGTAATCCCAGCACTCAGGGGGTAGAGGCAAAAGAATCAGAGGTTCAAGGTCACCCTCAACTCCATAACAATTTCAAGGCCAATCTTGGCTACATGAGAATATTTCTCTCAAAACATTATGAGGAGCTAGAGATGATTTAATTTTCAGAAACGTACCCTCCTCTACAATAAAGATAGATCCCAGAGAGAGCTTCAGTGTCATGTTTAGATGGTAAACCAGTCTCCAGTCCGTGTGGCCCTTCACTGGTCACTTGGATCTGAACTACACAGGGCTTCATTCTGTCGACTGCAGTCCTTCCCCCACGAATACTGGTGACAACCAGAAAACACTTCAAAGTAGTTTCTGGAAACATACCTCCAAGATTGGTCATGTTCAGGAGATGCGCACCAGTGCAGGAGTGTGTCAGTGTGATGTACTTAATAAGGTGTATAGCCCATGTCTTCCAGGAACAAGAATGTGGCCTCTGATCTCTATTGACCGGGGGATTGTAGGTGTGAGGCTTGCAGGAGTCAAGGGAAGCTTTTTGGGTAGGTAGTCACCACTGCAGTAACAAATTCTGGACAGCTATTAAGTATTCTAGGCTCTGTTTAAATTTGTGAAATTATGGGAATTGAGAAAATGACCTCAAATAGACCTCCTAAGTTGCATTACTATTAACTATCTTTGCCTCTCAGTTATCTCATAGTGATGAAATATTGGAACAAATATTCAAGTATGAACTATGGATGCAAGCGTGTTAGATAACAGGTATGTGTAAATGTTAATCTGAAGAAATGTCTCATTTTAGCTATATTGAATAATGAATCAGATGTGAAAAAATATCTGACTATTAAGTCAGTTTCTGTGCAACCAGACATTAAAACATATTAGTGATTTTAAGTATAAATAAAATGAGAATAAACTGTGCAGAGGTCTTTATTTTCTGTGAAATGTACAATCATAAAGCACATATACCATTTGATTAGAAATGTCTACTCTATATGGAATAAAACATTTAACATATAATAAAATAGTTACATACTTCTATGAAATCACATTTAGTTTCTTCATAATCATTTAAATAAAATTTTTATTCTAAAATCATTACACAATCCCCAAAACAACAAACAAGCCCAAATGTTGAGGTGATATAGAGATGATGTGCAGCCCTACAAAAGTAAAGTCTGGCGACCTGAGCTCAGTACCTGGGACCTGTTGTGAGCCACATTTTGGGGTGACTTCAGCTGCAATCCTAGCCATGGCGGGTTCATGTATTCCATGGTAGGGGGGTGAGGGTTGTAAAAGTTAGGTAGAAGGAATAGAGGTAAGAAACACACAGAGGCAGGATAGTAAAGGGAGGGCAACTCAGCCAATACTGAATGCTGAATTCTGACTTCTGAGTTCACCCATGTTTAATTTTCCATACACTTTTATATCAGATACAAAAGGGGGGGAAGAAGGCAGAAGACTAATTTAACATGATACAAAGGACATCCACAACAGTTACTTGCCCCAATACTTGAGACATCAAGCTATTATTTCTTAAGAAAAGCATCTGATGCTTGGGGCAGTGAAAGCACCCTAGACCAAGTGTCCTGCAGGTAACTACTCCCTTAGTCAAACCTCCTATTTCAAAAGAAGCAACAGAAGCATGCTTTAATTCTCTGACCTTTGGTCAGGGTGGAGCGGATCTACCACCACGGGCTAGCCTAATGTTCAAAACATCAAGCAACCACACCCTAGGTCAGGGTGTGTAGCCACGCTTGTCAACAACCTCAAGAGAACAGAGTAAGCTTAAACTCTCTGACCTTCAGGCAAGGTGGAATAAGCTCACATTTTTGGACCTCCATAGGGCACATGGTAGAAAGAAAGAATCAAGTACCAAAAGTTTTATTTTTACTTTCACACAGAATGTGGCACATACATCAACATATAAGGTTAACTAATTAATTAAAAATCATAATTATAAAACAAAATTATATAATAGATGCAAATGTAAATACATCAATATTGTATACTTGTATTAAAATAAAAATATAATATATATTCCAATAAGTGATTCTTAGATTTTAAAAACAATTATATACTTCAAAACAAAGATAATTGAACTTTATACACAAAGAAAATACTAAGTAAAATATAAAACCATGATGTGGGAGTGTCATATATCAATCTGTTGATTTCATTGGTTAATAATAAAGAAACTGCCTCGGCCCTCATAGGACAGAAAATTAGGTAGGTGGAGTAGACAGAAGAGAATGCTGGGACAAAGAAGCTGAGTCGAGGAGTCGCCATGATTCTCCCGCTCCAGACAGACGCAGGTTAAGATCCTCCCTGGTAAGCCAGCTCGTGGGCTACACAGAATATTAGAAATGGGTTAGAACAATATGTAAAAGCTAGCCAATAAGAAGCTGGACCTAGCCGGGCCAGGCAGTGTTTGAAAGAATACAGTTTCCATGTAATTATTTCTGGGCATAAGCTAGCCATGCGGGCGGCTGGGTGCCGGGGACGCAGCCCTGCCGCCGCTCCTATCTCAACAAAACCAGAATCTATGCCTTTCATATTCAGTACCCAAGCATGCTAGTAAGGAGAGGCTGGTTCCAGATAATAAATAAATAAACAAACAAACAAATAAATAAATAAATAAATAGAAAAGAGCCTTTTTAAATGGTAAAATGACATGTTCACCAAGACCATTTAAAACCTCAAAATGTGTATCAAAGCAGCTAGGGTTCGAGTGAGAACCACAGTAGAATGCAGTAATAATCACAAACAGTGTATTATCTGAGAAATGTTCTCATAAAGTCCGTAACACACTTCTTACTACTTGATAGCTCAAATGTCTTCCAAATATCAGCGTGTGTTCATGCTATTATGCTGCTCTGGTTTTAGATCCTGCTTCAGTTGTTAGCAATCAGACATGCCCCATTTGCTGGTTGTCTTACTTGCTTTGCTTGTTTCTCTGATAACTTGTCCTGACAAAGGCAACTTAAAGAAGGGATGGACACGTTTGCTGTGGTCACAGTCTACCCTGGCAGCAGAGTCCTGTAAGCAGGAATGAGACATAGATGGTCGCATTGCACACACTCGGAAAGCAGGGTCAATGGTTGGTGGTGGTCAGCTAGTGTTCTGTATCTATGTAATCAGGATAGCTCCTCACACGCACGTCTCCTCAGTGATTCTATAGCCTCTCAAGTTGATAACAATTATCAGTCATCACAAATCCACACTTGTGTTGATTTGACACCCAAACACATCACTTTTAAGCCATAACCTCCCAGCCCTTTTTCCATGTTTAATAATAATTTCAACCTTGTCTAAAAGGGCAAGGTCCAAAGTCTCATCTGAATTCCTGTGAGTGCTCATCACACCACAAACCAAGTTATGCGCTCGGCTTCTGCCATTACTTCAGGCTGTGTGCACTCAGATCTCAAGATTTGGAACCAGGACAAATAAGAGAGCATATGGTAGTGTTTTGTCTTCTGGGTCTGAGTTGCCTTACTCAGTAAAAGGTTTTCTGGTTCCATCCATTTACCTACATATTTCATGGTTCAATTTTCTTTACTGCTGAATAGAATTGCATTGTGCATACACACCGTGTTTTCACTATCTTTCATCAGTTAAGGATATTTAGGTTGTTTCTATACCCTACCTGTGTTAGTCATGGTTCTCTAGGGTAATGGACTTATAGGATTCATATTTATATACATACAGGGAATTTATTAGAATTACTTACAGGCCACGATCCAGCTAGCCCAACAGTGGTTGCCTACCAATGGAAGGGTCAAGCATCCAGTAATTAGTTGTTCAGTCCATGAGGCTGGGTGTCTCAGCTGGTTTTCAGTATACATCAAAATTGCAAAGAAGTAGACTCTAATGACAGTGAAGTGATAGACATGCCAACAAGACTAAGCAAGCAAAGAGAAAAATTCCTTCTTCTGTGTCCTTTATAGAGGCTGCCTCAGAAGATGTGCTCAAAAGATTTCCATTTAAAGTGTTTCTTCTAACTTCAAATAATTAAGAAAAAATTCCTCACAGGTGTATGCATCCTCTTGGGTTGTAGTTAATTCCAAATGTGTTGGTGACAATCAGGAAAGCCATCACATGACCTATTGTGACAAGGGCGACAATACACATGGCTGAGCAAGAATTGGTAGAACAGGATCTGGAGTCCTTTGAATATATGCAAGGAGTGATAGAGCTGGGTCATATGATAGATCCACATGTTATCGTTTTGAGAACTCTCCACCCTAATTTCCAGAGTGGCTACGCCAGTTTGCAGTCCCACCAAAGTGAACGAGGTCCTCTTTCCCCACATCCTAAGTCACAGTTATTGTTGGGTGTTTTGTTGATCTGAGCTGGGATAAGAAAATATGTCAAAGTTATTTTAGTTCATACTTCCCTAATTGCTAAGGATATTGAGCTGTTTTCTTGATTTTTTTTTTTTTTTTGCTGTGAGATGGTGTTTTCTAAACATGGCATGTAGCTGTACCAGTGAAACCTCAACAGCACAGTTGCCTGAACAAGACCTGCACAATGAAACCACAGCTGACAAGTCAACAAGGGTGGAGGAAATCTCACAAGACTCCATCCCTAGGTGAAGCACTACAGACAACCAACGGCTGCTGAGAAGGAATAGTTGGTATGCCAGGAATGATTCCCTGTAAAAGGTTACCTGAACCAAGAAGTCAGTCACGTATACATACAAGCAACACTAAATGGACTTAGGTCACACACACACACACACACACACACACACACACGTAAAAATAGTAATAAGGGAAAAGAGATCTTGAATGTGAGAGGAGAGAAGAGGAACCTGGGAGGAGTTAACTGCGGAGAGAGAGAGGTGGAAATGTTAAATATAGTACTCATGGAAGGAATCCTCAAAAAAATTAAAAACTTCACAACAACAACAAAAAACCCTAGTTATATACCTCTCTGTGCAATGCCCCAAAGAAAAACATTCCCATTCCAAGGGGGTAGAATTATGTCACACTAGGGAATTCTCAGCTAACCCAGATATTCCCCATGGGTATTCCCAGGGGCTCTTCTAGACTTTGTAATTTTATCTCTCTGTATGAAACCCACAGAAGGTCTGCATCCAGCTCCCGTACACAAGACCCTTGCTCTTATGACCCTTGCTCTAATTCTGCTGCTCACTGAATTCTATCAGCCAGCTCTCCTGGCAAGGTCACACAGGTTTCATGCACATAGCCTTGATTGCGAACCACTTCGGACTGACTTTATGTAAACATCGTTGGTGTGTTTTGTGGACTTAACCATTCAAACCTGCCCTACCCAGGGAATGTCTGGGTCAGGAAACAGGTCATGTGTAAACTTAGTAAGCATTGCTGGAGAATATTGCTGGAATCACAGATCATTTCACAACCCTCATGATTGGTGAGGTTCTCCACACTGAGCCCTCAACCGCTGGGTGGAGGCCTCTGTAGCCTAAGGTGTCCTGGTGAGGGTATAGTTCCATTCCCTGTGGCTTTTTTGTTATATCTTAGCCACTAAAGTCTTAGCCCCTTCCCCAAATGCCCACTGGCCACTGGAGTACTTGCTTTGATCAAGTGTTCCTGGAGTTTGCTGCTCAGCTTTTATTGTGGCTGAATGTCTTCCTCTGGTTGATTTGTGGGTGTTCTTTCTGTGTTGTGGAGGTGGATGAAAATCTTACTTTCCTAAGGTTATTCTCTGAGAAATATGTGTTCTAAATATGTGCTGAAGTCTAATTTATCCATGATCGCTATTTGAGGTAATTTATTTTATTTTATTGATTTTATTATTGATTTTATTGAGCTCAACATTTTTCTCTGCTCCATTGTGTACCACATTTTCTTTATCCATTCTTCAGTCGAGGGGCATTTAGGTTGTTTCCAAATTCTGGCTATGACAAACAATGCTGCTATGAACATAGTTGAGCACATGTCCTTGTGGGACGATTGAACATCCTTTGGATATATACCCATATTTTGGGTAATTTTTATGCCTTGAGATATTGTTGGCCCCAAAGGTATCAAGACATTTATTTATAAGACAAATTTCTAGAGCAGTATTTCTCAATCTGTGGGTTGTGACCCCTTTGGAGGTCAAAGGGCCCTTTCACAGGGGTCATCTAAGACTTTCTGAAAACATAAATGTTTACTTTATGATTCATAACTGATGTGGGAGTGTCATATATCAATCTGTTGATTTCATTGGCTGAGCAATAAAAGAAACTGCTTGGCTGGCCCTGATAGGTTAAAAGATAGATGGGAGGAGGAAACAGAATAGAATTCTGGGCGGAAGAGGAAGTGAGGTCAGACTCTGCTCTGCTCCCGGAGAGACTCTGCTCTCCGGATCACAGACGCCATGCTCAGCTCTCCCGGGTAGACGCGATAGCTCTGCTCTCTGAGGCACACGCGATGAAGATGGATGTAGGCTAGAATCTTCCCGGTAAGCGCACCTTGGGGTGCTTACACACATTATTAGAAATGGGATAGTCCAGGTGCGAGAATTAGCCTGTAAGGGCTAGAGTTCATGGGCCAAGCTAGCCAAGCGGCCGGGGTGTTGGGGACGCAGCCCCGCCGCTCCTATTTCAACACATAACAGTAGCAAAATTACAGCTATGAAGTAGCAATGAAATAATTTTATAGTCAGGAGTCAACACAGCGTGAGGAACTGTATTAAAAGATTACAGCATTAGGAAGGCTGAGAACCACTGTTCTAGAAAGACACGGCTAAATCCAACTTGACAAACATGTTGGGGGAGAACTAGAAGATAAATTCAGTGATGTCCTTCCCACAGATTTACCCAGCTTCTTATTCTTGCAATTGATGAAAAACAGAAGATAAAGTTGGTCTAATAAACAGTCACAAACTGGGTTAAAGGGTGGCATCTGAGACATCAGAGAGAACTTTCCTAGGGTTCAGGGCAAAAGAAATCAGAGCAGAAGGTTCATCAAGAGAGAAAGAAGTCCTCATTCACAGCCAATGCCTATAAAAAGGCGAGCCCGTTCCATGCCAGGGATGCCATCTTAAGGGAAGTGATTTATGCAGACATCATAAAAATGCTCAATCAAAGGACACAGATTCAAGAGTCTCTTCAGGCTGGCATAAACAATGGTGCCTTGTGCCAAGAGCATGGTCAGGCCAGGCCCGGAACATTCCTGCCCTGAAGAGTAATTGCAGCCTCAGCGTCAGAACTGAGACCAAGCTTTGCCTGTGAACTTTCTTCTTCTTTCCTCTCCAAGTCTCCTAGAACACACTCAACTGTTATTGTTTTTTGCAAACGGATTGCTGGTGATGAAAATCTGAACAGACAGTTAATTCTACTGGGAAGATTCTTCTTTAATCACAGCTCACATTCCAGAACAAACAGAATAGCTGACAGCCCTTTGTCTAAATCAAACATTGAATTGTCCCAGCAGTCAGATAGCCCAGTGTTCAGTAAAACTAGAGATAAACACATGAGTATTTCAGGATCAGCTTTTGGGGAATTAGGAGAACACTTAAAATCAGAACTGCTTTCTTGTTTTAGATTTTTTTTTAACTAATAGCTTTTATCAAGAGTAAGTTTGGGAAAGGGATTGTGGCGATGACATTAAAATATCTTGTTAAATATGGAAAGCTTGGCCTGTGGGTCCTTGGCTGGCTCCATGAGCCCCACGTAGGTTGTTTGCACAATATGCTGGGACCACATTGTGAGATGCTCTTCCCACATCTGTACCCATCTCCTCATGACATCACCACCCCTGCGAATTAGCATCTTATGCTCATCCTTTTTTCCACTGACCGGACCTGGTTTTGTTTCTGGCCCTTCTCTCGATGTTGTGGGCTCATTTCAAAACACGTGTTCCCACAGTCACTGTCTGGATGTTGGTGATGCCATGAACCCAGGACACCTGTGACTGCTTCTACTTGATTCACCTGTCCCTTGACTGTGACACCCACTCACTAAGCAAAGCTGGGGCTCTCTCTCTTTTCAAAATAGTCTTTCTTGTTGTCTGTGGACAATGCCCCTGCTCCATGCTTCCACTAAATGACAATAAAAATAAGCTTGACCCTGGAGCCCAGGCACTACGGCTCCTCACTGTCACCTCCAGTGGCCCTTCTGTTGTCTTCACAGCCTTCTCTGTACTTACATCTTGTACGTTGCCTCCCTCTCACCTGTGACTTCTGCAGCTCCCTACAAACGTCAGTGTCCACGGATAATGAACTCCAAGCTTTGTCCTCTCAGATCATGGCGGTCTTCTGAAGCCCAGAGCTTTACATCCTTGACCATGAACAAGAAGGGTTTGGAACTGGCTGACACACTCCAGTTCCTTCCTGCCTGTGTGTTTCAGGTCTCCACCACCATTGTTTCTCCCACTGCTCATCATCTGTCAACTGCATGGGAAATAAAGGAAGGGGGGAAGGAAACAGGGAAAAAAGAGAGGGGAGGGAGGAAATGGAGGAGTTTCTGAGGTCTTAAATCAGGTTGGAGACCCAGGACAGGCTGGTGCTACAGTCTTGGTTGAGTCTTAAAGCTTAATGAAAACTCAGTCGGAATTCCTTTTTCCCACGGTCCTTGAGTCTTTTCTCTGAAGGCCTCCAATTGCCTAGATGATCCCCCAACAGTAGAAAGTCCTCTATTTTACAATAAGACTGCTTGTTTAAATACTTAGCTCATGTATCCTATCACAGCAAACCCTATGCTGTGTTTGACACAGCCATCACAAGGAACAGAAAACGCACTATCTCAATCACAGTTTGTATGGTCCTGTTGTTCTATCCAGCACCCTAAATTGTGTCTTCTTTAACTTTTTACCTCCCTCACTTGGAGAAAACAACTCCAAATGGACCCAACTATACCCAGCCTGGTATTCCTGAGTGCTCAGAATTCTGGGATGGGCACCATACAGGTGGTAGTCAACAGACAAAATGGGCCAACGTGTTGACAGAGGTTTCTGTCCCACCCAGTCCCGCAGCCTTTCAGTCCCAAAGAAACACACAGAGATCTACATTAACTATAAACTTGTTGGCCTATTAGCTCAGGCTTCTTATTAACTCTTAAAACTTACATTAGCCCAAAATTTTTGTCTGTGTTAGCCTTGTGGCTTGGTATCTTTTATCAGCAAGGCATTCTCATCTTGCTTCCTCTGTGTCTGGGTGACAACTGCAGACTGACTCTTTCCTTTTCCCAGAATTCTCCTGTTCTGGTTACCCCGCCTATACTTCCTGCCTGGCTACTGGCCAATCCGTGTTTTTATTAAAGCAATACAACTGACAAATCTTTAAAAAGTACAAGATCATTGTCCCACAGCACCAATGTGCTTCCAACCTTCCTGGCATTCAGTTTACCTGGGACCTAATCCCTGTTTTGTCACAGGCCCCATGATGACCGCAGCCTCTCTTGCCCTCTGCTATACAGAGAAAGTCAGAGTTTACCTCCCCTGCTCTCTATTCTAGGCCCTTCTGTCTCCTTAGAAGGTACCCACAGTCCAGTGAGTGACTGAGAGCCCACCCTGTGTCATGCTTGTGTGTTTGCCTCAGTGTTCTTCCAGACATGCATTGTTCTGGAATTCCTACCTTTTCTGTCTGATGCCTATCTGGGCCATTCCATTTACCTCTTCTCCCACCTCAGGGCTCTAACCCACACACAGTTCATTCTCCCCCCCTCTCCCCACAAGCAGCTGGCTCCTGTCAATACCAATCACAACCCAAACATCCAAAAGCAAGACCTTAGTAAAGAGACTGGCTTCACATAAGCTGGATCCTGCGACTGGCCTCTTCTGGTTTTCACCAGCCCTCTTTTCCCTTGTCTTTTGTCCCCACATTGCATGGATTGCCTGATGCTTCTCTGGAGAGCCAAAAGTTTCAAGTCTTTTTTCCCCAAGATCTTACTTTCCTTCTTGAAGACATCAAGATGTTTATATGGCCTGAGGCCCAGCCATGGGCTTGAAGGTTTGACTCTTTGAGTTTCCAGGGTCCTTGTCTATATTGCACAATTATCCACCATCCACTTGCTGGTGAGATCAGATGCTGCACACAAATCTCTATTGAGCATCAAGATTATCCTGATTTTCTTAAGACAAAGGAGGCTTCAGACAAAACACCATTCTGTAGAGCTCAGTGTCTGTACAACAGCAGAAAGGTGACGGCAAAAACCAGTGCAGGACTGAACCTCAAAGATAAAAACAAGGAACTGTGCCCTCAACATAAATATTCCAAGGGCTTCCAAGGTCAGAGAGTAGATTAAAGGAAGTCAGGACGTAGAAGGATGGACACAGCCTGGGGTCATCTCTGCTCAGTAATAGCCCATGGACTCTGGTCACTCAAACCTCAGGTACCAGAACTAGCACATTCTCCTCTCTCTCTCTCTCTCTCTCTCTCTCTCTCTCTCTCTCTCTCTCTCTCTTTCTCTCCCTCTCTCTCCCTCTCTCTCCTCTGTCTGTCTGTGTGGGTGTGGGTGTGAGAGAGAGAGAGAGAGAAAGAAAGACAGAGACAGACAGAGAGAGAGAGAGAAGGAGGGAGGGAGAGAGAGTTAGAGCTCTTCATTTCAGAGATTTGAGAGGAACACGTGCTGCACTGATTGGTTTTGGGTCAGCTGACGCAAGCTAGAGTCATCAGAGAGGAAGAAGCCTCCAATTGAGGAAATGCCTCTATAAGATTCAGCTTTAAGTCATTTTTCCATTCAGTAACCAATGTGGGAGGGCCCAGCCCATGGTGGTTGGTGCCATTCCTGGCCTGGTCATCCAGGGTTCTCTAAGAAAGCAGGCTAAGCAAGCCATGGGGAGCAAGCCAGTAAGCAGCACCCTCCATGGCCTCTGTATCAGCTCCTGCCTCCAGGTTCCTGCCCTGTTTGAGTTCCTGCCCCGACCTCCTTTGGTGATGAACAGCAATGTGGAGGTATAAACTGGATAAACCCCTTTGTCCACAACTTACTTTTAGGTCACTGTATTTTGTTGCAGAAATAGAAACTCTATTTCAACTAAGACAAGTGCCCTTTGCTCGGAAGAAGTGATGGGCAAGGCCTTGGGTCTTTCTGGACTTAACCAGAGATGCCGTATTCACAATCTCAAGACAGGAACAGGAATCACAAATGTTCAAAGTGAGTCCCAAGGGGATGGCATGTAGATACCAATTGGACTCAGCAAGCAAAGTCTCTCAGTCAGTAAATAATTCTTAAAATACTCATCTGATGTTTCACACTTACGTTAACCAAACATATGGATCAAATTTTCCTTAACAATTCCATGCTTTGAAAACCAAGCAGGAAAATGCCTGGAAGTACTATTAAGTCTATTTTTTTCAGATGGTTTGGTTTTAATTATAAATATTTTCAGAAACCCCGAAAATCCATGGGATCCACCCATCTCAACCAAAGTAATAAAAGTTACTGGCATACAAACCTCATAGCAAGTGTGATACAGCCCCCTTGTTCCCCAGATTCCACAGCTCTGGACTCAGATGTT